ATTTTATCTACTTTCACATCATATTGATCTTTTTTATAGATAGTGAAGACTGGTAGGTGGTCACTGACATCCGTGATCAAAATGCCACCCATAAGTTCTTTATTTGTTATATTTGTAAAAATGTTGTCAATTATTGAAGCACTATGGGTAGTAATTATTGTGGGTTTTGAAATCAATGGATAAAGATTTAAACTGTGCATTGAGTTTATAAATGTTCCGATATTATTTGAGTCTGTTTTATTTCCCAGGTCTATATTAAAATCTCCACACAAAAAAACTGATTTATTAGAACTTTTTTCCAATATTGTCATGATGTGATTGGTGAATGATTCAATATTTGAATCAGGTGATCGATACACGCAACTTATCATTATATTTTTGGAAGTGTGGTTTGTCAGTCAGAGTCAGAGTCAGAGTTTCTTTATTGTCATTCGCCCCTCATGTGGTACATGTGGTGGAGCGAAATTATGTACACAAGGTTGTACTAGTACACATGTAGACATACTGTAACACCATGCCGAAGGAGGTTTCCCCCGCGCATGCTGTGACGGTTACCAAGAAGGGGTGGCTGGACACAGACATGATGAACGTGTGGCTCACAAAGAGCTCCAGAAGCGGCTACATGGGTTTTACAGAGAAAAACAGCCCTGCTGGTGATGGACAGCATGTGTGCGCACATCACGCCGCAATTTAAAGGTAAAATGAAAGCGTGTAACTCCATCCCTGCCATCATCCCGGGAGGCTTGACAAACGTGCTGCAGCCTCTGGACATTTCTGTGAACCCGAGCTCTTTGGGAACAGTGGATGGAGGATGGAGAGCAGCTGCACCGCTACGGGACGGATGCGCCACGCGACGTTTCGGCAGCTCTTCGACTGGACTGATAAATCGTGGACCTCAGTCACCACAGAAACGATCCAGTCGGGGTTCAGAAAGACCGGGATGTTATCTGGAGCTGGAGCTGAGGAGGACTCTGACATCCCCGGGGAGGAAGAGGAGGCAGCGCTGCATCACCTACCTCACGAGTTGGCAGAACTCTTCGCCAGCGACACAGAGGATGAAGATTTCAACAGGTTTGAATAAATAAAATAAAATAAATAGATGTTTCTGTCATCACGGGTAGTGGGTGTGTCGTCATGTTAAAGCCGTTTCATTTTGTCGCCTTCATTTGGACCTGTTTTCACCGTCAAAGTGCATTTATTAAGTAAAAGTCCAACTGAGACACACCTTTACTATAAGTTTGAGCAAACAAATAAATGTTTTTAGGCATTAATCTTGTTAAATTTCTAAGAAATGTGGAGGCTTGTACAGCTGCGCGTGCCCGCTACGCAGCAGCGAGGCTGCAAAACTATTTTTGAAGTTCAGCTGATTTGACCATTAAAGTACATTTATTAAGAAAAAGTTCAACCGAGAAACACATTTACTATAATTTCAAGCAAAAAATATATTTTTTAGGTGGTTATCTTGTTAAATTCTTGTTAAAGTCTGTCCGTGCACGCTCCTGTGGCCACCATTTGGCAGCCAATCCATTTTTGGCACAACACCGGCCCACATTTCCAGGTCGTCAGCGGTGATGCATTATAGATGTGACGTTTATGGTGGAAAATACAGTATGCATTGAATTAATAAATGTACAATTGTTGATTTTCTTCAGGCAGACAGATTTTTTCCTTCAGCCTTGAATCCATCTGGACGTTCTGGTTCTGAAATAGTCTAATTGTGAGATTCCATTCCACTGATCCATGCTATGAGTCTCCTTCAAGGTCAAACCCACCATGCTGGCAAGTCCCAGAAGCCGCAGGTGGCCTGTGATTCTCATAAATCGCCTCCACCTTACGGTTTAGCTCGTAAACCAGTTGGTTCAGAGTTCCTATAGCACGGACCAAACCTTCACACTGAATCAGAAGCTTTGCCATGGTCGAAACTGCTGCAGGTGTGTCAATGCCTGGAATATCTTGAAAAAGACCTGAAGCTCTCGACCTTTGACCTCTCTAAGTGTCTTTAAGAATCTGTTGGACTCCTGGCAGGGACCAATGCTGACATGTTCCTGTTTTTAGTTTTCTACAGTTGCCTTAGAATCTAGCTGTTTTTCTTACTTTTTTTGGCCATCTTATTTGTAAAAATAAAAAATAAAAATCTGTATGCCTTTTTATAACTGTCTATTGTTGTCATTGTTGTCCACTGTTGTCATCACTCTGTTAAAATCAGGTCTCTCTTGTAAAAGAGTCCTCGAAGCTCAATGGGATTAACCTGTAGAAATAAAGGTTGAATGAAAAATGTCTTCTTCAATAGTCGATAAAACAGAGCCCCGCCGATGCCAAAAAGCAGAGTCCCTGCTAACATAAATCCAAATATGTAAATGTCTTCAACATCCTCCTGAGACAGAACTGAGAGGCACATCAGCTGCCACACTCCCCACGGGTCCATGACGTACCCCACAGTGTGCGTCTCAGCTGGACACGCAGGTTCTCCAGGACCTTGTCACTTTGTTGAAAAAATCTTATCAATAGAGTTGAACGTCCAGGATACCAGATCCATAATCTTCTTAATTTATGTTCGGGAGATGTGAACCAGGCACTTCAGACACACAGAGAGCAGAGCAGGAGGAAGGAAAATCTGGAGGAAAGACGGAAGCAGCCACCTTGATCAAGAGCATGTTGTTCCCTCCCAACGACACGATCACAAACCACTGCATCGACCTCTCCGCTCTAACCCTGTCAGAAAAACAAAGAGTCACTAATCTGGGCGTGATAATGGACCCTTCCCTGAAACTTAACAATCATGTAAACATGATTAAATCATGCTTCTTCCAGCTGAGGCGGCTGTCTAAACTGAAGCCCATATTGTCCAAAAAGAACCTGGAGACAGTAATACATGCATTCATTACATCTAGGCTTGATTACTGCAATTCACTCCTGTTTGGTATCAGTCAGACCTCCATTGCACGACTACAACTGGTCCAGAATGCAGCAGCCCCATTTTTAACCAGTACAGGCAAAAGAGAGCACATTACACCAGTTTTGGCCTCACTGCACTGGTTACCAGTTCACTTTCGAATCCAGTTCAAAATACTCATGTATGTCTACAAATCACTGAACAGTGTCGCCCCCATCTTTCTGATCTGCTACAACCGTATGTCCCACCACGCTCCCTGAGGTCAGCGGACCAGTTGCTCCTCACAGTTCCAGGAACTCGTCTTAAGTGCAGAGGTGACAGGACCTTCTCTGTAGCAGGACCAAGACTTTGGAACGAGTTACCTCTGCTTGTCAGACAGGCCCCCTCCCTCTCTGTTTTCAAGTCCTGTTTAAAAACTCACTACTATTCAGTATCTTTCAACACCAGATGATCTGTGTTTTGATCCTGTACGCTCCACACTGGTTAGTCGTCATTATCTGCATCGTTTTTATGTCTATATTCTGATTTACCTCATTTTGTATTTTGCTTTGTGTGTTACCTGTTGTTCTGTCTGTACAGCTCTTTGGTTGGCCTTGTTGCTGTTTTAAGTGCTCTATAAATAAAATGATATAATAAGAGCCAGAGAGAAAAATAAAATAAAAGAGAAGCTGTGAGCTCGACTTTAGGCATAAATAATTAATTCGGCTGTTTGGAGTCACCATCAGAGAATGTTCTAGCAAGACTTTAAAAGGCAGAAGCAACAATTTAAGAGTTCTGCCTGACCCAAACTGTGGATCTGGACCTGGCCTTGAAGGCGGACTATCTCAATTCGTCTGGGACGTTCTGAAAACAAAGACGCTCCGTCTGTCTCCTCACCCCTCCCTTCCCCAAAGCCGTGGACATGTGACACAACCTCAACTGAGCTGATGATAACAAACACCTCTTATCTGGACAATGGCTGAGGGGGACTCTGGACTATACTATGAACTTTGCTTTAAATTCAATGTCTTCAGTGGCCTCATGTATTATGTCTGAATATGTTGCTTTGCTGTGGTAGATTTTTTTGAAGCCTCAAATCGTGCCCTGTCTAGGACTTGGTGTGAGAGATCTTTTTATATACCTTCTTTCCTTATAGTTTCTTCCCCTTTTCTCATCTAAGCCTAAAAGATGGAGTTGTTAAAAGACTGGAGCCGTAGAGACCAGTTCATCAGACAGCACTTCTTATTTTGCATGCAGTACAGAAACACTAATGGATTATCTCAAAAGGTTAAGTCTGGTCCTCTGGACATTCAAAAAACAAACAAAAAAAGGAGACTCTACTTTTTTGTTTGTTTTTTGTTTTGTTTTGCTTAGTTTTGTTTTATGAATGTCCAGAGGACCAGACTTAACCTTTTTAGATTTTTCTGCCTGGATTATTGAGCATGCATCAGGATACTAATGGATTATGGTTCATAAAAATAAGCATGGGTCCGCTAGAACCGCCTACATACACCTCAAAGTGCTCTAAAGCCAGGACCAATGCTAATGCCTCCTTTGGTGGAATACCACTTCTGATGTCTATCAAGTTTTTTTTTAATTAAGAAACCGGATGGTCCACACCATCAGTACCACCCTGTAAAAGGCCAGAGTCACATACATCCACAACCAACTTAGGGTGCATTCACAACAGCCCTGTTGTCCCGAACTCTAGCCTGTTTGCCCAGGAAGTCCGGTTCTTTTGGGGAAATGTGAACTCGCCATTGAACTCTGTCACAGAACAAAAACCTAGGTCTCGGTCTGGTAGAAGAGAACTCCAGTGCGGTTCGAGTACAGTGTGAATGTAAACAGACCGGACCCCTCTCCACAAGCAGGAAGTGGAGTACAGCGCAGGACAAACAAACACACATTTCTCTTATATGGAGCCGTCAGCTGCCTTGTGTGAAAAACAATATTCTCCATGGTCTTCTGCCTCATCTTCTGCTCATGCTGAGTCCATTGTTGAAAAATGACAAAATATAACTCCTAAAACTGCTAAAACTTGATGCCACTTCGTTTTTATTTTTATTTACAGAAGAAGAAGAGTCTTCTTCAGAGGTTTTTGTGTCGTTTCTTTCAGTAGTTCTTGGTGTAGCGCCCCCACAGGCGAGTGGGGGAACAGGTTGGTTCAACAGGTTGGCTCGACTGCACAGTGCAGTGTGAATGCAAACGCACCAGCTCAAATGTAACAAAATGTCATGAATATTGGTCTCCAACCAAACCGAGTCTACCGGACTATCAGCTGTAAAAACAACCTTAAACTGCACATCTAAGTGAGGGGCAGACAACACAGAAGCGTTGATGAACAAAGATTTAGTCTGCTCAAAAGCAGATTGACACCGGTCAGACCAAATAAAATCCACTTTTGGGCTAAGTAGGTCTGTTAAAGGGGCAGCCACAAAAGAAAAGATTTTACAAAAACCCCGATAGTAACCAACCATAGCTAAATAAACCATAGCTAAATTGTTAAAAAAGTATATATGAAGTAGCTTAGTGTGTGTTTTTTATTAGAATTAGAAAAATTAGAAAGTTATTCATTTTGTTCTGTTACTTGAAAATTAATGTCTGAAATAATTGTTTGAAAAAAGGGGCAGATATAATAAGATTTTTTCTTCTTTCTGCTGCCTTTCATTTTAAATTTTTTTGTATCTTTTTATATATTGTTATGGAATTGTTTTGTACTTTTTTTAAAATGAATAAACTTCATACCATACCATACCATACCAAATAGCATTGTAACTCAGTACAAGCGGTGGGAACAGAAACGAACAAAATAGCCTCCACTTTAGCCTGAGTTGGGCACATGTGACCTCCCCACTCCCTTTTCCAAGATACAGTGCCTTGCGAAAGTATTCTGCCCTCTTGAACTTTTCAACCTTTTGCCACATTTCAGGCTTCAAACATAAAGATATAACATTTTAAATATTTTGTGAAGAATCAACAACAAGTGGGACACAATCGTGAAGTGGAATGAAATTTATTGGATGTGTCAAACTTTTTTAACAAATAAAAACTGAAAGTTGGGCGTACAGTATTATTGGGCCCCCTTGCGTTAATACTTTGTAGCTCCGCCTCTTGCTGCAGTTCCAGCTGCAGTTCCAGCTGCAAGTCTCTTGGGGTTTGTCTCCATCAGTTTTGAACATGGAGACACTGAAGTTCTGCCCATTCTTCCTGCAGAACAGCTGGAGCTCAGTGAGGGTGGATGGAGAGCGTTTGTGAACAGCAGTCTTCAGCTCTTTCCACAGATTCTGGATTGGATTCAGGTCTGGACTTTGACTTGTTCATTCCAACACCTGGATACGTTTATTTGTGAACCATTCCATTGTAGATGTGGCTTTATGTTTTGGATCATTGTCTTGTTGGAAGATAAATCTCCGTCCCAGTCTCAGGTCTCTTGCAGACTCAAACTGGTTTTCTTCCAGAATGGTCCTGTATTTGGCCCCATCCATCTTCCCATCAATTCTGACCATCTTCCCTGTCCCTGCTGATGAAAAGCAGGCCCAAACCATGATGCTGCCACCACCATGTTTGACAGTGGGGATGGTGTGTTCAGGGTGATGAGCTGTGTTGCATTGTGTCCAAACAGTTGGATTTTGGTTTCATGTGACCAGAGCACCTTCTTCCACATGTTTGGTGTCTCCCAGGTGTCAAACTTTAAACAACACTTTTTATGGAGATCTTTGAGAAATGGCTTTCTTCTTGCCACTCTTCCATAAAGGCCTGATTTGTGCAGTGTACGACTGATTGTTGTCCTATGGACAGACTCTCCCATCTCAGCTGTAGATCTCTGCAGTTCATCCAGAGTGATCATGGGCCTCTTGGCTGCATCTCTGATCAGTCTTCTCCTTGTTCCAGATGAAAGTTTAGAGGGACGGCCGGGTCTTGGTAGATTTGCAGTGGTCTCATACTCCTTCCATTTCAATATGATTGCTTGCACAGTGCTCCTTGGGATGTTTAAAGCTTGGGAAATCTTTTTGTATCCAAATCCGGCTTTAAACTTCTCCACAACAGTATCTCGGACCTGCCTGGTGTGTTCCTTGGTCTTCATGATGCTCTCTGCACTTTGAACAGAACCCTGAGACTATCACAGAGCAGGTGCATTTATATGGAGACTTGATTACACACAGGTGGATTCTATTGATCATCATCAGTCATTTGGGACAACACTGGATCATTCATAGATCCTCACTGAACTTCTGGACTGAGTTTGCTGCTCTGAAAGTAAAGGGGCCCAATAATATTACACGCCCCACTTTTCAGTTTTTTATTTGTTAAAAAAGTTTTGACACATCCAATAAATTTCATTCCACTTCACGATTGTGTCCCACTTGTTGTTGATTCTTCACAAAAAATTAAAATTTTATATCTTTATCCACCATTTTTCAGTCAGGTCATCTGGACAGTTTCTTTTTTTGTGCTGAGACGTTTCGCCTTCGATCCAGAAGGCTTCATCAGTCAAGGAAACACACAACAAAACTGATTATTCCTCCAACAGCTTACTCGAAAGTGGAACAAACCAGTTCCAGTTCAACCAGTTTGACAAGACTGTCAACAAGGAAGAGGGCAGGCAATGGAGGAGGGGGCGTGTCAAAGAGACCATCTTAACACAAGCAGAACTGGTTTGTTCCACTTTGGAGTAAGCTGTTGGAGGAAGAATCAGTTTTGTTGTGTGTTTCCTTGACTGATGAAGCCTTCTGGATTGAAGGCGAAACATGGAACGAGTTACCTCTGCTTGTCAGACAGGCCCCCTCCCTCTCTGTTTTCAAGTCCAGTTTAAAAACTCACTACTATTCAGTATCTTTCAACACCAGATGATCTGTGTTTGATCCTGTATGCTCCACACTGGTTTGTTGTCATTATCTGCATCGTTTTTATGTCTATATTCTGATTTACCTCATTTTGTATTTTGCTTTGTGTGTTACCTGTTGTTCTGTCTGTACAGCACTTTGGTTGGCCTTGTTGCTGTTTTAAGTGCTTTATAAATAAAGTGGAATGGTATTTCAGAACAAAAAAAAAAAAGAAACAGTCCAGATGACCTGACTGAAAACTGTTGGATTTTATATCTGGATTATTGAACATGGACTTTGTTGTTTATATCTTTATGTTTGAAGCCTGAAATATGGAAAATGTTGAAAAGTTCAAGGGGCCGAATACTTTCACAAGACACTATATGTCAATATGGTATAATGGTATGGTATAAAGTTTATTAATTTTAAAAAAGTACAAAACAATTCCATAACAATATAAAAAAAAGATACAAAAGATTTAAAATGAAAGGCAGCAGAAAGAAGAAAAAATCTTATTTTATCTGCCCCTTTTTTCAAACAATTATTTCAATCATAATAATTTTCAAGTAAATATACTTAATATACTAGTAATATAATGCTCATGGTTAGGTTTAGGGTTATGTATATTCAATTCAATTCAGCTTATACATATAGTATAAAGTCACAACAGAATCGTCTCAGGGACTGAACAGAAACATTCATGTATAAAATAATAATTGAACATTATTTATCTGAGGAGCAGCTTTGAGTTTAACTCCATCACTGAACTCTCATCTTGAACAAGCATGAAGGCGACAGTGGAAAGAAAAACTCCCTCATGAGGAAGAAACCTTTAGCAGAACCAGGATCAGGACAAGAGGACCATCTGCTTATTAATTTGGCCACATGACACTAATTCACTTCTAACTGATCTTTGAGTGAAGTTTAAAAGAAAGATGAGGAAAATTTGCTCTTCTCTTTGACATAGTTTTAACAAAATCTTTGATGTGTTTAAGTTACATTAGCCCCAAACAACCATCTACTGATGTAGACATTCTGTTAAAGTAAAAAAAAAAGTCACTAAAATTACATATTTGAACAGCTGTTGTGGCTTGAAATAAGCACTTTGAAGTCAGTGAAAATAGTTAGTAGATGCCAAAACATGATCATTTCATAAAAATCATTCTTGTTTTCAGGTCCAACAGGACTTCTCTCCATCTTCACAGCACCTCTGATTGGAGCTCTGAGTGCCGCTGCTGTCCTCCTTGTGCTTCTACTGGTTGTCTTTTACAGGTGCAGACAGGTGAGTTCCTGAAAACAGGTGAGGCCAGGAGAGCACAGTCCAGATAACAAAGATAACCTGAATATATACTGTATGTATGTGTGTATATATATACATATATATGTATATATATATATATATATATATATATATATACATATATATATATATACACATAAATTTTATTTATTTATTTATATGTATTTATTTTTTATTATTATTTATCAGAAACCCAAGTATGAGATTCGCTGGAAAATTATTGAGAGCATAGATGGGAACAACTATACCTTTGTTGACCCCACCCAGCTGCCGTACAATCAAAAGTGGGAGTTTCCTCGAGACAAACTAAGATTCGGTATGAAATCTCAACACATTTTTACAATGTTAATGCTCCTTTTTTAATATCCAGATGCCACAGCATTACCTTCAATACAAAACTGTTCTCCTCTTCCTGTTTCTAAACTATGACTGCTTTTTTAATGACTATAGAAATAGGATGCAGTGAATTGTAATACTCATAAATCCATAACTTGTTCACAGTGGAACATTCACAGCCTTCATAGTTTTCTATTGAGCAACATTATTCTAATATATTACTTTTATTTTCTGACACAGTTTAAATGAAGTGGTGAACCCCTGCCCATTTTTTCTCACTCACTGCTCATCTTTCAGGGCCAGTCCTGGGTTCAGGGGCGTTTGGGAAGGTTGTTGAGGCAACAGCATTTGGTCTGGGAGCTGGCAACAAAACCACTAAAGTTGCTGTCAAGATGCTCAAATGTGAGTCTGCTCTGCTTCATCCTCATCCTCCTTATCATCACTTCAGGCTATGACACGTGATGTTTCATGTGCTCATCAACAGCAAGCGCTCACTCAGAGGAACGAGAGGCGTTAATGTCAGAGCTTAAGATCCTCAGTCATCTGGGTTACCATGACAACATTGTCAACTTGCTTGGAGCATGCACTCAAGGAGGTGATGAACAGACCATTGATCAGTTGAAAGCTAAAGACAGTGTGAACACAGGAAGAGACCTAAAACCAGTTTGAGTCCATCTAAACATATCTAAAATACAAGAAACCTGTTGAAAATCAGCCCTACAAAAATGTTCATGGGTTTGAATCGTTCTGAATGAATATGAATCGGTCTGAATGGATATGAATCGGTCTGAATGAATATGAATCGGTCTGAATGAATATGAATCGGTCTGAATGGATATGAATCGTTCTGAATGAATATGAA